GCTGTTATACTGGCACCATCCCCTACCTCTTCCTCAGCTATGTAAATGACTGTATTGGCGCTGTCTCATGCTCCCATGAGGAGCTTGAACAGTTCATTAACTTTACTAACACCTTTCATTCCAACCTCAAATTCACCTGGACCATCTCCAATATCGTCCTCCCCTTCCTCGAGCTCTCCGTCTCCATCTCTGGTAACTGCCTCAACACCAACATCTATTTCAAACGCACCGACTCCCATAGCTACCTGCACTACCACACCTCTCCCTCCTTCTTGCAAGAATGCGATCCCTTACTCCCATTTCCTCTGCCACATCTGCTGCTTCGATGAAGTGTTCCACTGCCAGACTTCCCAGATGTCCTCCTATTTCAAGGACTGCAACTCCCCCCTCCTGTGATCAAAAATGCCTTCAACCGCATTTCTTGCATTTCCCACACTTCAGCCCTCAACCCCAACGCCCAACGCCCCCCCCCCCCCCCCCCCCCCCCCCCCCCCCCAACAAAAATAAAGACAGAATCCCCCTGGTCCTCACATACCACCCCACCAACCTCCGTATCCAGTGTGTCATTCTCCACCACCTACAATCCAACCCCATGATCAAAGAGATATTTCCTCCCCACCCCATCTGCCTTTCATAGGGACTGCTCACTCTGTGACTCCCTCATCCACTCCACATTCCCCACTAACCCCACAACACCTGATACCTTTCCCTGCAACCGCAAGAAGTGCTACACTTGCCCCTACACCTACCCCCTCACCTCCATCCAAGGCCCAAAGCAAACCTTTCATACCCGACAGGAAGAACTGTACGTCTTCCAATCTGGTCTACTGTATCCGTTGCTCCTGATTTGGCCTCCTCTACATCGGTGAGACCAAGCGTAGACCCTGAGTCCATTCTGTGGAGCATCTGCGCTCTGTATGCGACAAATGACAACACCTTCTGGTCGCTAACCGTTTTAACTCCCCCTCCCACTCCCTGGATGACGTGTCCATCCTGGGCCACCTCCAGTCTCACAATGACACCACAGACAAACTGGAGGAGTAACACCTCAATTCCGCCTCAGGAGCCTATAGCCCAAGTTGGCCTAAATATGGAATTCACCACTTTTAAAATCTCCTGACCTCCTGGTCTCATCCCACGTCCAACTCTACCTCTCATCTTCACCTCCTTGACCTGACACAACCTGTCCATCATCTTCCCCACCTATGCGCCCTACCTTTCCTACTGACCAATCCTCACTATCCCCTACCTGCACTCAACCTATCACCACCCCACCTACCTTTCCCCAGCCCGATTCATCCTCCCTCCCACCTCCTCGACCTGACACAACCTGTCTGTCTTCTCTCCTACCTATCCATTCTCCCATCCCACTGACCACTCCCTACCTGCATTCACCTATCACCATCCCACCTACCTTCCCCAGCCCCACACCTCCTCTCTCTATTTGTTTCGCAGCTCCCTTACCCGGCCTCCGCATTTCTGAAGAAGGGACCTGACCTGAAACGTCAACTTTCCTGCTCCTCTGTTGCTGCTTGACCTGTGTTGTCAGTGACTCTAGCATTGGCAGTTCTTGCTATCTCCAAGAAACACAAGTTAAAATGTGCTCATATAGTTTTGGAAAATATAGTTGTCACTTAGTGAAAGGAACAAGTTTCCTGCTTAAATTGAGCACAATTGTTCATTTAATGCAAGCTCTGCTTGTTGCAATTCATATACTTTGTGAGAGTGTATTGTAATCCATTTGATGTACAGTACCTGGAAAAGCAGTTGCCTTTAGAATTGCAACAAGTAAAAGTAAATAACTGGACGAACAAGCAGTTTGAACCCTATCAGATAGTGCCCATTCCTTTTTATTTTTGTGTAAAGCCAGCAATGTAATTCCGTAAGAGATATTCCAAGATAAAAATGATTTGTAATGGTTATACTCTTTTAAACAACATACATTGGTTTCATTTAATTGTTTTCCCTTCAGTCTTCAATTTTGTTCAAAAGTGGTCTCACTTCAACAGGCACCAGCTGCTCTTTTAGTACGTTGTGCGAGTTCCCATTCTTAACATGGACTCTGTAAGGCTAGTTCTTACTATCTCTGAGGCTAATTCATAGCCTTTCACAGCTGAGTTCAATCCTGTCCACATGGGTACATTCAATAATGCCGAGTTACTGTACAATGAAATCTGTGCTGATTGTATTGTCTCCCATGTTCCCCAATTGCAGCCTAGCAATGCTAGGGTAATTTGTAATTTTATTGATAACTTTACTGACGTCAGCTAAATGAGCATGAACTAAAGACTGAAGTGTTATTGACATCACTCAGCTTGTTTAGTACAGGAAAACACTTTGGAAGGTGCATATATCCTGTTTAACTTTTTAAACATGAAAGAAAACCTGCAGAGAAAATGTAATTTCAGCATTGCATTCACTTACTACTGTTTACTGGTTCATGAAATATGTATCTCTAATGTTGGTAATGTAACTCCAAGAATGAACTGTCATTATCTTGTAGATATTTCCAAAACGACTTGTTTAGAAATGTTATTACATACCTCTAGAGCAGGTGGAACTTGGACCTGGGCCTCATGGCTCAGAGGTAGGGACAATAATACTACATCATAAGAGTCCTTGAAGAGTCCTTATCTTGTGTGCTTCCCACAACTGGAGAGAATGAACTCACCAGATGCTTAAATTATAATTACTGTACATAAGCCTGTGGTACAATTATTTGAGAGGAAGACATCACAAGCCACACATAACGTATTTGTTAGTTTGCGTTGCTTAGACTCTCATAGTTTTATTATTATATGAATGCTATTGCTATATAAAAATTCGTGGGAAATAAGAGTATTTACATTGTGTTCCAATGTCTGTCTATTTTAGTTTGGTTTGCTAAATTTGAAGTGACTTTGTGCAAAAAAATTCGCGGGAAGTAAGAGTATTTACATTGTGTTCCAATGTCTGTCTATTTTAGTTTGGTTTGCTAAATTTGAAGTGACTTTGTGCAATATTTACACATGTGACAATAACAGAAAAATATACTTTGTAAAGGACCTGGTCTTCTCTCTAGGATGTCCTTTTGCTCCATTCAGCTACACTGGCCTTTCCCATGAATTTCCCATGTTAAGCCTTCATTCAAATCTCAAGAAATTCCATTAATTTCATTTCAGATTCTTCCATTGCCTCAAAGTTTGGCAAAATCTCAACCTGTTGAGTTTATTATTTAGTTATTTAAGTTCAAAGATCCTAAACAAAGAAATAGGTGAATCTGTGATTTATAATTACGACCAGTAATACTCCTTGTGTACATGCTTCCATCTTGCTCATTTGCTTATCTGTTAATATGCTTTTCAACACTATCTGTTGTGTGTTATAGAAAATTATTTTCTTTGCTGCACACACATCAAGCATTTGACAAGTATGATTTTTCTTTTTGTGTATTTTACATCATAAGAAAATTTTCCACCGTGCAACAACAGTACACAAGTGAATTTTCAGCCTGTGTCTATACCATTTCCTTTAATACCATGTGCTATCTTTATGTTCTGATCTTTAGCCCATCAGTACACACATGGTGTTTACTACATTTGAAATAAATGTTTTGCTCACTGTCATCAAGTGTAATAAGCTCACAAGCTAAACAATGGCTAATGTTTATATTTTGAACTACCTCTGTTAATAGACTTTTTTTTTGGGAGATAAATGAAAACCTTGTAGAAAAGTGCACAAAAACAAATAAAATGCTGTGCGTGGGAATACTAGCCATGAAAAGCTGCATAAAGTGCTGTGTAAACCAATAATTAAACTTGTGTAATTGAATGTTGAGAAAACAATCCATTTTTGGATGTGTGAGACAAATGCATTAAGAAAATCATTAAACATTCCAGCCAAAACACAGATTCACTTAATAAAGTTAAACGTATACAACCATAATTGATAAAGGAAGACATTTTAAATTTAATATACATGTACTAAAAAATGATTGTCAGAGAAGCTATGTGCTTCATATATCTTTAAGATACAAATTCTAATTTGACCTGGGTGATAGCTTGCATAGAAATCTGAACAAATTAATCGAAGTAAGTATTTATAATGACATAATACAGGGGCAGATTATCATTTGGACATTTGTAGAAGCTTCTTTCTAATATTACTTTTTAAAAAGAAGCTAAGGATTATTTTATTGTTGAAGCTAAATTTTTGACTGTGGTTTGTATTTAAATGGCCACAAACAAATTATGTTCTTGAAGATCTTTCTCTATCAGCAAAATAAATGTCATATGGAAAAGAAACGTGCTGGCATTTAAATTGTGCCTGCTGTGTACACATGGGATCCCAAAATGCTTTACAGTCAATAAAGCATTTTTGGATTGTGATCACTGTTGTAGGAAACACTAGCTAATTTTTCCACATAAATGGAAAACATAAACAACAATATAAGCAAGGCCTGATCATAATCTGATTTTGTGATATTGGTTGAATATTGGCCAGAACACTGACAATGACTCCCACTTTTTTTCAAAATAAATTGCTGTGGTATCTTTTCTGCCCATCTGGGGGTAGAAGGGCCTCAGTTTAATGTCTCCTCCAAATATGGCACTTTTACAGTGCAGCACTCCCTCAATATTGTACTGGAGTGTCAGTTTTACTTCTTGCACTGAAGTCCTGAAATGACTTTCTGACTCCTACGAGAGCCTGAGCTACTCAGCTACCAACTGACTCTGGTTGGCAAATGCAGAAAATATGGGAAATGCTTAACTGGCTAGGCAACAGTTGTGAGGCGAGAAACGCACTAACTTTTTACTGTTAATAGCCATTGATTACAACTGTTTTGAAAAGAATTGAAAGATGTTCAATCTGTAATATTAACTTTGTTCCTTTTTCCTCAGATACTACCTAACCTGCTGAGTATTTCCACCATTTTATGTTTTTATTTCAGATTTCCAACATCTGCAGCATTTCACTTTGATATACAAACTTTTACATCAAGATGTTCTTTTTATGTTTAGGCTGAAATCTGTGCTCGTCAGTCGTCTAATGCCCATGGAAGACTTCGTAATCTACTACCTGAACCAGTAAGATCACATGTAGTACCCCAGGATGCTCATTTATAACTGATTAGCTAGCCTGGCTCATAGAATTTGGAAGTATAGAACTGCTATTGGGTTTGGGATTCTGCTCAGTCTGTTCCAGATAACACTGTAAATGGATCCCTTAACTGGTCGAGTAATTCTGGTTTGATAGGTCGCAGGAACTGTGCCATTGCAGATGGACTGTCCAGTTTAGTCAGTTAATCTGTAGCAGTACCCTGGCCATCCTTGGGACCGAAAAGTGGGGAGGGGGTGGGTACACTCTTACACTGGCTGGATTAGAGACTGTCACATGTGGTGATGGGGTTCCATACATGCCATTAAATATGTATTTAAAAAGTTTAATTTTTAAATCTGTTGTTACAAGTAATCTTTCTCTTGTTGCTAAAGTTATGTTTTCTAGAATACTGTTTATTAATTCACTGAAACGAATAGTACTAGATCAATTTTCAGGATTCTGTCCATTAGAAGAAGTTAACATCGGAGTCCCATGTCTGTCAGTTCCTGCGTGATGATGTCTCATTGTTCTTTTATCTTCTTTTCGCTAGAGTCGTTTATGGTTGCTTGCTATGCTAGTTCACATCTCCTCAAATTTATATAGCGAGTACACAATTACTATATACTCACTTTGTTATTGGAATACTCCCTGGTTGTGTCACATGAATCTAACAAGGCAGAAATTGGTACAGAGACAGGGATTTTGGGAAAAGTAATTGGAAGAATTAAGTTTTAAGGATGGTCATGGAGGAAAGAAAACTAGTGGAAAGATGAGATTCATAAAGGGATTTCAAATTTACCTGTGCAAGCAGTTCTGCCATTGGAAAGACCAAGAGGTTAGGGGATATTGAAGAGTTCAGAGATGGCAGAACAAAGAGCTGAATTGCTATCTTCATTCCAAGTGTTATATCTTGTATCTCCATTGTCCTTTCTGCAGCCTTTGATATGGTTTGCTTCAACTATCCTCTTCCAGTGCCATTTCCATCCTCTTTCTTGATGCCAATCTGTTACTTAATCAAAGAGAAATTATATCCAGCAATAGCTTTTCTTCCCACACCAGCATGTTTATCTCAAGTCTTCCAGGATCTACATTTGGCTTTCTCCTCTTTTATTGTTGGCAATGTCCTTTGGTGACATCATCCATATACATTGAATCAACTTCAACAGGTATGCTGAAAAAAAACCCCATCAGTACCTCCCAACCGTCTATCTGACATCTAATCTTGGATGAGTCACAGTTTTATCCTGTTAATGTCTGCAAAGACCTAAACTGTTGGTAGGTGGATTCCTTGCATCAAATGCACATTATTTGACTCTGATCCAAGTTTCTAGCCCCACATCCTCTCCATCACACCACCGCCTAATTTCACCCCTTAATTGTGTGCTTCAGCTCTGTTTCAGACTATCTGCCACTGAAAATTCTCACGTGTCTTTGTCTCCTCCAATTCAACTTTTATCTTTCTTTTTGCACCACCCCCCCGCCCCCAACCCCTCTTTAAAAGAAGGAAACATACCTAAAATTATGGCTGCTCATAGCATATCCTGCTCAACAATCACCCTCTAATCTTGCTAATGTATAAAATGCACAGAATTGCAATGATGGAAATCTGAAACACAGTGTGCCGGAGGAAAACAGCAGGTCTCGCAGATTCCTTACAGGGAAAAACAAAGTTAATGTTCTGAGTCCTGTGATCTTTGCTAATATATGTTGGCTTCCATTACCTACAGTTTAGATTTCTCTTCCTTGCATTCAAAACAGTTCATACCTTTGCTTATTTCTGTCATGTAACCACCTCCAGTGCTACATTGCACCCTTTAAGCTTTGCTGATTCTGACTTTTTGTCCACAAATTGCGACCATGCCTCCAGTGGCCTTGGATTCATACCTTGAAATTCCCTACTCTTTCCCATCTTCTCCTTTAGGACCTTTTAATATAACTGATTACTTTGGTCAGGCTTTTTATTCCTCCTCCTTGTAACTTACCGTTTGGCTCAGCAATAATTTCTTTTCCGTTGGGTTATTTTCTATGTTCAGTGTGATATATCAAGTTTTTGCTGTTTGTGCAAGGGCTCATCTTTCTATTTTCTTAGTGGTTGAGTCACCTCCGTGTTTCTGGCAATCTGTGGTTAGATGAATAGTTTGCCTTTCTTTCTCACTGAAGTGAAATTAATGTAAATGTGCAACCTACAGTGCTAACCTTTTAAAATAATTGTATTCTTAACATGTAACAGAATGTGATATTAAGAAACACTTTAAGAGTCAGATCTCTTAAGATTCATTTTTGCACTTTGAGGCTTCTGAGTTAATTCATCATTGAAATATTTATCTAGTTTAAATTGCTGCTGCACCATAAAACCAGTGAAATGTCCATGTGATTACTAATTTTCTCATTTTAATCATCCATAAAAACCATGAAGCATAAAAAGCAAAATAAAAGCTTACATGGGCAGAAAATAGCAGGCCATTCCAATCACCCAGATGTGTGTACATTGGAATGATGACTGACCCTTGGGCAATTGAACTCAACTTCCTTTTTATGTAATAACATTAGGGTCTGGCTGTTTATACAAAAATAACTCCTTTATGGTTTAAAAATAAAGCCTCGTTGTGAAACAAGAATATCATTTGCAATGCGTCTCATATGGTGCAGCATTTCAAAAAGCAATTTTACTTGTGGAATGGTTGACATATTTAAGCCTGTGGGCACTAAGAATGTAAATAGAGTTAATTACGTAGTACACGAACAGTATCTAAATTAATGTATTATTTTAAAATGAAGTATTTCAGAAACTGCAAATGATGTTTGAAAGGATATTGCAACATATGTTATTTATATCATATACAAATGAGAACTGTGGAGAATTAAAATACAAGGATGCACTTCCTATTGCTTTCATTTGTAACAGTTGCTCTGGTTAGTTTGTTCAAGTTACCATCATAATGCGTGGAAGTAACATACATATTAGAGATGCAAATTTGTCCCTTTGCTAAACTATTGTACAAGGATAATACATGGTAGCTAGTATAGCCGAGAATTATTTATCATGAACTGCTTAAGGCACGTAATCCATATTTATATTTTAATAGCTTTGTTAGCTGTTGATCATCTTTTCAAAAAAAGATTTATTCTAAACGATGTTTCCTGAAACCAGCGCACTGGCAAAGAAATTCTGTAGTGGATATCATTGGACTCATGATGTTCGTGACAAATTTTGAATCTGTTGGGAAATTTAAAATGAAATTCTGGATTTGATATACAAAACGTCTCTTAACAGTGATCATTGGGTTGACATCAAATAAACGTCACCTTGAGAGGGCTGAGAATGTTCATTGCTGTGCAGGAGTACATGCTTCTGATATTTCGCCTTGCTGCTGTTTTGCCATGATGCTGACATTGTAACTGACAATAGAACAAAAAGTGATCTTGTGAAAAGATTGCTAACATTGATTATATTTGCAAAAGATTGAAAGATAAACGATATCTTTCAATGTTTTGGCTGTCCCTTTTCTTTGTTAGGATCTGCTGATTTGGTAATCTGTGTGATATATTAGCATTATGAAAATCATGACATGGGGCTTTACGTTATGGGTTATGGTTCTTGTAGATTAAAATAAGATGTCAAATTTGGAAAAACTGCTGAGCACCTTGCAGTGACAATTAGCTTAGTTGGTAACATAAGCTGTTTGAATCTCAATTTCTCTACCAAAGTCTTTAAAAGGACTGTAAGGAATTGGTGAGTCAGATGAGTGAAATTGCAGTATTTTCAGTGGCCCTCATCTGACTCCCTTGATGCCACATTGATGTAGTTCACATTGAAATTTGCCAGAGAAAGAAGAATGGGTGACAGATGATTCAAGACCATGACATTAAGAATAAAGCTTAGTGTGAGCCCTTTAGGTGCAGAGATCAAGGAGCAGAAAGAAGCATTGAAGGGCAAAGATCAACAGGAAAGAAAAGATCAGTAGTGATAGACAAAATAAGCTAGGTGCATCCAAAAAGTAGAGGAAATATGGCACCAGACATTGGGGGAAAAACCATATGGAAAATGTAATTGGAGAAGTATCATTTGCACCCTTGCAGTGCTTACATTAACTGGTGTGTTTGTTTAAGGATAGGATTTAGTTTAACCCAGGAAATATTGAAAATACTTATCTGAATCTTGATTCTAACCATTGTATATTTTCAAGTAGATATTCAAGGGAGGAAGCCTTGTTTAAATATATGAATATAAGACAGGAAATCTGGAAAACTATTTAGATACATAACAGGAATCCTTGTACAGCAGATTGACAAGCGTAAAAGCCTCAATGTGTAAGGATACTTTTATTTATTGGATATTGCCCTAACCTCTGCCAGCTCATAATGCAAATAGAAGGGAAGGGAAACCATTCTGCATTTCTGGATCATTTAGCAGTTTTAAGTCCTTCTTTCACAACCTACACAAGCCATTTTAATCTTCTCTAGTTCTGTTGGAAATGCCATATTCTGTTGCTGCTAACAATTACAGATTGACACTTTGTGTTAAACTTCAACAATAAATATCTGTGATATTAAAGAGAGCGTTGAAGTTCATGCAACTATAATTCACAGTAGTTCCTAAATGATAAAAACACTCTGGCAGGAACAGAACATGCATGCTTGAATGAAAGAAGATGCACAAGGAATACAGCACATATATAGGTAACAGATGGCTTTGATTCTTTTTAAAGCTGCAATGCCATCTCTTATTTCACATAATTGTTGAAACAACTCTAGCAGTTTACAGCATGTAATCAGAACCTGGCTATAATGTTACAGCTTCAGAGAAGCATACAAGGAACTGTCAAATATCATTTTCAGATTTCATTGTTTTAATCAACTTCGACTAGCAGCTTTCTAAATGTGATTGTGTTGCACTTTCTGATGGCATCCAGTTATGCAAGGCTGTTGTATTGGAGGTCTTTTCATAACTGTCATTTTACAAATTGCATAAATTCCTAAATTAAGC